TACAAAAAGTTTTAACTATCCCGAATGGATCCTAAATAGTATGCTATAGATCAAGAAGAACCTGAAATAATAATTAAATTGTCTCGATTTTGATCTAGATCATAGAATTTATAACATTCAGTCATGTAACATCATACATATTGTGTTGTCCTTCCTTGATGTGTAAATTTTATCCGCTTTCATTTTTTTGATTAATCATTCTATTTCTCTTAGATTGTCATGAAGTCGATCAAAATTCATCATATGATCAAAGCCATTCTGATTTCTAGTCAAAAACACCAAAATGTCTCTCTTCTAAAATATATGAATAAACCCTTATAAATGATGAGATCGATGCCATAAGAAGGATTTCATAAGATTTCATAAGAAAGAATTTAAAGCTCTTTCTACAATGATTTGCCGCCCATTATTGTCAGGAATGATGACATGTGTTGCTAACATAAGCATCAATGACACCCATTATTTCTAACAAAGGAAACGTTTATCATCTATAGCAACATTGATGTCTGTCGTCAACACAAAAATTTACGTCCACCATGCCTAGAAGGCAAACAACTATCATTGACACTAATGTCACCATCACAAACAACATCTGCCATCAACATTAACTTTGCTACGTGCCAACTGACATCAATGTTGATGCTTATTGTCACCAATATAAGGTAGCCCATCATCCACATTAATTTCGTTACCTACCATCGCCAACAAGATTAACACGCATGCATTGTCAACATCAACGCTAACATCTATCATTAACACTCACGTTGATGCCCATAGTTGATACCCATGACAAAACCCACCATCCTCATTAACGTCGACATAACCGTCTCTACCAAGTTCAATACTCACCTCCACCTCTTTGCTTGTTAATCTCCTCGCCTATAAAGATAATAATCAAACAGAGCACAAAATATCATTTGATTATATGTTCATCCAACTTCTATCATGAAACTCATTTCAACAATTTATGTTTACAATATATCTTCTATAATTACATGGAAAAATATCCGTTATGTAATATATAACTAATATAATAAAATTATTTCAACAAGTCAATACTCTATGATTTTTTCCTTCTCAAAATTTTCATGTAAAAAATATTCTCATACACACTAATCTCAATTTATCTTATTTATCCATATTGTATGTTCATATAATGCTATATAGTAAAACAATCAAATTATTATTAAGTTAAACGCAAATGAATAAAACCATTTGTCTATCATTATCACACAAATTAGCTCATTTTTTTCTTAGAACGGAGTATCCACCGGCCGTTGTCATCCTTGAAAGCGCACTTTCGCAGCGTGATTAATCTTCAGCTAACTTAGAAGAGGTACCGACCTCAAAAATCTCCTGACCCAATTGGCCCGCACTTAATTATTAGCCAATTTTGAATTTCTTATCACATCAAGCATCACTTATTGGCTAGCATCCAACATATAAACGGCCAAAAGAAAGGGGGAAAAAAATCCTTAGACTTTGACTTCAGCCTTAAAATAAGGAGATTGAAGTGGTTGGATGAATGACATGAAAGTTAAAGGCTATATTAGGCTGTCATGATTATTAGAAGATAGGAATGCGCTTTGTATACAGTAAAGCAGCTAAGGCTCTTTGGAGAAAGAATAAATAGTGTTAAAGAAGGAGAAAGTGTTGGGTTGGAACAGTGCAAGCGTGCAACTTAATGCCGGGAATTGTCGTCCAGTCCCCTTCTTTCCTGGCAACAAAGGAGCCCTTTACTCCCAGCCGTTCCTTTGCGACTTTTCTCTTCTTTTTACTCCTTCAGCTGCTTTTGAACTATTCGAAGCCTTTAGTTCTCTGTTCTCTCTCTCTCTCTCTCTCTCTCTCTCTCTCTATTGATAATAATTTATATACTGTTGAGGAATTTAATTCCCTCTGCATATTATGTACGCCATTCTCCATTTGTTTTCATTATTAAGGTAGATAATGGTATTTGGGGCAAATTCTGATCTCGTTTTTTATTCCCTGGATGTACCTAATCAAGTCTCACGCTTGACAGTACATAATTGTGGGGAAAAATTATTTTTTGCTGTGTCCGGACCCGTCCAGAGGTCAATCCGGATACGTCATATCACCCAATGCACAGTGCATTGGATGACATGACGGATCCGAATTGACCTCCGGACGTGTTCAGACACCGCACAAAATAATCTCTCAACTGTGCGATGTACTTGCATGTCAATGCATTGTTGTGTAATCTTATTTTATGTCTGCTCCACTATACATGCTATTCACATTTAAGTTTTATTTGGGATGACTTTCTTATTGCTTCTTAAAGTAGCTTTTTAATAAAAAAAAATTAAATGAAGCCTTAATAATTTTTGTAACTGACCTCAACCAATAGATCTAGGTGAGCTACCGTATTTATTTATATTCTTAAATATGCTTATTTATTATTAAAAATTTATTTGAATATTAGTTTTCTTTGTTAATTTAATAACAATTGTTATTTTTTTATTAATTTTTTATATCCTATTACTAATGCTAGAGATATGCTCATGATGAAAGTTTATTTTGAACAATAGTTAACTTGATTGATTAATTTATAAATTAATTTTATTGCTTTTTGAACATTGGAAAAATATAACAAATAAGATAGAGGGAATTATCATCAAATTTGCTAGGAATTTTTTTTTGTTCTGAAATTATAAAATAATATTCTTAAATTAATAGCATCTTATACAAATATAATAAATTAAATTTAATTAAAGTTTGTTGATGATCACTTAATTTTGATGTGAAAATTTGCTACAACACAAATCAGAAAAAAAAAATAAAGCTTGCTGGGCATCAAAATTTGATTCGAATTTATCAAGAAAATAAATGAAGGTACTCAGCTCAAATAAATTAGTTTACTACTCATAAGGAGTTTAGCTATCAAGGCTTCATTTGTGACGGCTTTTTATTGCTTCTTGAAACGAAATTTTATTTCAAATTTTTTAATTTTTGTACTAAAATTTTATTTTAAGAAATAATAAAAAAAACCATCTCAAACAAAGACTAAATATAAGATGGGTGTTTTATGTTATGCCTAATTCACCACATGATTAGAATGTTTGATTACATTCTATGTGAGAGAGAGTGGTGCTTCTCCCATCATTACAATCATTAAAGTGATTGATGATCAAATAATTCTAAGTTTCTCAAAATTCTATATGTCAATGTTTTTAGGTAGTTAAAGAGAATGAGATGATTTTGATCTTATTGCAAGACTTTTGATTGATTATGATGATTGATTTATTATTTAGAATGAGGGAAATAATTTTGCAGATATCTTAGATTTAGGAATGATTGATTAGGACTTCATATGAGATAGTTTTCTAATTATTTTCTAAAATTTTTTTACAAAAAAATTCTAGAATTAAAAAACAACTTTAGAATGCATTAAGAAAACTGTCCCAAACAAAGCCTAAGACAGTCCTTTGGATGGTGTTTATCCATTAAATGATTTTCATGGTGGTGATGCAAATGCGCTATCTTCACTTGATTTTCATGGTGATGAGATGATATTGTCGTGTATTTTCTTAGAGGTGATGGTCGGGCTTTTAACAAGTTTATTTAAGACAATTTTTCTTATACTCAGTTGCCTCTTTAGTGACTTATTATTGAAAGAAACCCCTTTGAAAAAGAGCCTCTAGTGATATATTATTACGTGCGGAGTCCGTACACAGAAAATCGTTCGGTTTTATGACTGTGAACAATAAAAGTGCAGTAAAAACACATGGTTAAACAGTAAAAGCGCTGTGGTGAATAGTAACTATGTTTTTACTATTCACAATCACTAAACCGGATTGTTCTCTGACTTTAGACTCCGCACGTAATAATCATTTCTTACTAAGGCACCATGTTTTCTTTCTGAGTAGTTTTCTCATAGCTCTAATCATGCTACAAGTGATGAATTGATTATTGATTACTCATGACCATTATGTCGTGCAATCTTCTTTGATGCTTGGCAATATTGATACAATTATCAATGTAATTGATGTGTAAGGCCCTATGGGTGATTCTATCAAGGTTGAATACATGGGCGTCAATAAATGACTCGACCCATCAACTCAACCAAAAAAATTCTATTTCGGGTTGACCCGTTTAATAAACAGGTCATATTCGATTGGAGTTTTCCAATATGTTTGTTAAATAGGTCAAGTTTGAGTTGACTCACAAATCAAATTTTAATCCAAAAATGATTAATTTAATATATTTATTTTTTACTTATGAGTATAATCTTTTTATTTTTTGTCAAATATTTGAAATTTTATTGCCAATAAGTTATAAAAAAAGAACCAAAACAGGTTAATGAGTTCAAGTTGCTAACATATCAGATTCAAGTTGGTGTTTTTGACCTGTTTCTTAAATAGGTTAAATTTCAGGCAGATCAATCTCAAATTGGACTCAAAACTAACCCATCAACCCATCTTGACACCCATAGTTGAATGCTTGAATATCAATAGATTATTGATACATTGTTGAAATAAGGTGCTATGTCTCAAAGTGGATATTGGCTCAAATTTGTTGTGACAAATTGTATGATTTGAAACAATAACAAAACAAATGTTTCTCCAACTGTAATGTTATGAGTTAAATTACAGACCCAAATTATCTGAAAAATAAGACTTCGCTTGATGAATCCAGTTTTAATGCTAAATTGTTCAATAGTTTATAAAATAAAATCTTTTTATTTTAATGTATTTTTGAACAAATGTGTGTGCAAATTAAAATTTTCCAAATACAAATTTAACATAAATCAATACTATTAAATAGAGGTTTCATTTCGGACGGCTTTCTTATTGCTTCTCAAAGCACTTTCTAATAAAAAATAAAAAAAATTAATTTTTGTACTAAAAAACTGCTCTAAGAAGCAATAAGAAAATCATCCCAAACGAAGCCAGAATCACAAAGTAAAATGTCGACAACCAATTTCTTTTTTGGGAATCCTCAGCACTCAATCTCATTCATTCATTCATTCATTCATTGAACACTAAGATTAAAATTTAAATACATTATTTAACCTTTGGGAGAAAGGAAAAAAAGAATTTAACACTCCATTATGAAGTTTCATAGCTCTCTGTTCAAGCTTCTGACCACAAGCCCAAAGCAGACGCCTGGAATCATCATATCAGTATAAAAACTAGTCGAGTACAAAATTCTAAGGAAAACAACATATTAAACAAAGAGCTCACAGTTTTCCTGCTATCCTCTAATGGCTGGCTATACAGCAGAGAAATGGGAAAAAGGTCGTGGACCAAACAACTCATCGAAGTTTAAAACATGTCGACTTGATAAGTCATCCTGCAGCTCGAACACCATTCTATGAAGATTGTCATAAGCAAGTGCTCAAAGAGAAGAGATCAGAGCCTAATTCTCCATCGACGACGAATCCGATGTCATCTCTCTCCTGCATTGAAAAGATGAACAATTAGCTAATGAAGCTAGCCATTTACTTGATGGTTGAGGTGGAACTCGAAAACTGTAACAAGTTTGAAAAAAAAAATTTTCTTCCCTTCATGCAATTCAAAACTTGTGTTGCATATACTGTAATAGAGCATTCAACTTCTTTTTGTGTGTGTGTGTGAGTGATGGAAATAGCATCCCACAAACACAGAAATGTTAGTTATGTCAGATTTTCAAATGTTATAGAAGCAGAGGACAAAAAGAACATTTCACCACCACCACCACCACAACAACAACAACAACATCAAGCCTTTGCACCATTACGTGGGGTCGGCTACATGAATCCTTTTTCTCCATTGCGTACCGTTAAAATTCAAATTCTCATTTATATCTAATAAAGAAAGATCATTTATAATATTTTCAAACCAAATTTTTTTAGGTCTACCTCTACCTTTCTTAATATAAGTCAAATCTAATACATCTACTTTCCTAACCGAATCATCGGAAGACCGTCGTTTTATGTAACCAAACCATCTAAGGCGACTCTCTCTAATCTTATCTTCCACTGGAGCTACTCTAACCTTTTCACGTATATGCTCATTTCGTATCATGTCTCTAAGGGTAAAGCCACTCACCCACCTGAGCATCGTCATTTCTGCAACACGTAACTTAGTATTATGCTTCTTTTCTAATGCCCAACATTCTGCACCATAGAGCATTGCAGGTCTAACCACCATCTTATAGAATTTTCCCTTAAGTTTGAGGGGACTTTTCTATCACACAACAAATCCGATGCCTTCCTCCACTTCAACCATCCAACTTGAATTCTATTTATAATATCCACATCTATTTCACAATCACTTTGAACAATAGATCCAAGATACCTAAAACATATACTCTTACCAATGACTTAATTCGCCAAAAGTCACAATCCCCCACTAGATCCGTTACTATTAAAATTGCACTCCACATATTCAGTTTTAGATCTACTCAAGTGAAAACCAAATTTTTTTAGGTCTACCTCTACCTTTCTTAATATAAGTCAAATCTAATACCTCTACTTTCCTAACTGGATCATCGGAAGGCCGTCGTTTTATGTGACCAAACCATCTAAGGCAACTCTCTCTAATCTTATCTTCCACTGGAGCTACTCCAACCTTTTCACGTATATGCTCATTTCGTATCTTGTCTCTAAGGGTAAAGCCACTCACCCACCTGAGCATCGTCATCTCTGCAACACGTAACTTAGTATTATGCTTCTTTTTTAATGCCCAACATTCTGCACCATAGAGCATTGCAGGTCTCACCACCATCTTATAGAATTTTCTCTTAAGTTTGAGGAGGACTTTTCTATCACACAACAAACCCGATGCCTTCCTCCACTTCAACCATCCAACTTGAATTCTATTGATAATATCCACATCTATTTCACAATCACTTTGAACAATAGATCCAAGATACCTAAAACATATACTCTTATCAATGACTTGATCGCCAAAAGTCACAATCCCCTACTAGATCCATTACTATAAAAATTGCACTCCACACATTCAGTTTTAGATCTACTCAAGTGAAAAAGAACATTTCACCGAAGAGAAAAAAAATCTGGTCTAGATATAGGAAATTTGTAAGCATGTTGACTGAATGTTTCAGTGAATCAACCAAAAAAGGCAATACAACAGAACCAGGTTATGTAAAAGACCAAATATAGTTATATTAGGCTTTTAGGTACCGGTCCTGCATAAAAAGTCATGAGGAAGGGAGTGTGAGCTGAAGGGGCAACAAAGTAGGGTCAAATGCATAAAAACTATTTGGTATTTCTATATTCACGTACTTTTCAATTTTTCGATATGAAACTAAACACCAACATTATAAAGTTGGTCAGGATGTTTGTTTCTACTATAACATTTTGCACGTTTATCTTCATAAAGCCCAGTAAGCCAAAGGTGCACCTTAGCCACTGAAGATGAATTATCTTTCTGCTAGCAGAAGAAAACCTCCTTTTTAAATCAGTTTGACAGGAGAATAAAGGACTGCAACAAATACTCAGTAATCATCAGTGGATAATAATAGCTAATTAGCATGTTAATCTGAAATATGAGGAAATACAACAGATAGAAAGCTAGAATATGCAACAAGGAAATAATCGGATAAATTTTCAAAGCAGAGTAAGAAGATCAAAAATATATTGATTATATAACAAACTGAAAAGCGATTCAATCATTCAAGAAAGTATTAAAAACCGAAAAGGATTACTTTCTTCTGAGCACATAGTGATACCTTTAATGTGGATTTCTTTTTCTCCTGTAGTGAAGCACTCCGCGATAAAGATTTTGCTCAAAAGAATTGGGAGCTTGAACAACAGTGAAAACATAAGGAGATTTAGAAAAGTATATTTTCCTAACTTAGCTAGAAGGTTTTGAGGAGCTGTGAAAAGAGAATTTAGTTTATTTGGTTAAGAAGACGTTGTATAGACATAAGCAATTTCCACAGGTTCAAAACATTTGATACCTTTGTTACCAAGTTGAATATATTTGCCACTGAAGCAATCAAAGAATTATTGTGGTTGCGAGGTTTATTGAAAGAGGTAGAGCTACTCAAGGATCTTACAACTACTTTTAACAGACAGTCAAACGGGTTTTGCAGCTTTGCAAAAATCTGATAAATCATGAAATCGCAAAGCGCATGGATGGTAGGTTCTATTTTATCAGGGATATTGTTGATGAAGGGATACCATTGATGAAAGACATCAAATTCGAGAAGATCAGCACTAAGGAAACCATTTGTAATGGCAATAAAGGTTGTTCAATTGAGCAAGTTCATGAGAAGTTATGTTCAAATTGAGATCAGTTGGTGATTGGAATATCAGCATAAAAGATTTGAAAGTTGCTTTGATTATGAACCAAGGTGGAGAATGTTATGTTGGTTCATAAATGGGTAACTAAGGGATCATGTGGGATTTATTTTTATATAACTTTTTATTTATATTTTAGTTTAAGATAAAAGAGGGGGATGCAAGGACGAAAACATGCGGCCATTTAGTAGCATAATTGAAAAGAAACGATGTGTTTGTTGGATGACAATTCACTTTGAAGCTACAAACAAGAGGAAAATTTGATGACGAAGCATAGAAGCAGTTGCAGGGAATATTTCATGAGATATAGGACTTTGGGCTTCAAATCCGATTAAAATCTAATTCTAGAAACCCTCAAGTGGGTTTTGTGAACTGTCAGGTTGGTAGGATTTTTGGCAAAAGAGTCGCACAATGAAAGAGTGATTCAATAGAAAGAAATACTTAAGTGTTAATGCTAATCAGAAGATACTCTTCCATTCAGGTAAAGTCACACAATGAAGTTTTTATTACATACTGTTGCATCCAACATCTAAAAACTGTTCAAGAAAATGATAACAAATGGACAACAGATTCAACATGTTTTAAACTATATAATCAGTAAATCTGCACAAAAGATGAAAAAAAGGTTGTAGAAACAGAAGTAAGCAAAGGATGAGAAATGGGATCTCACCGGCTTGATCGTTGAATTCATTAGGTCATCAAAGTTGCAATTATTTGAGACAAAGTCACCCTGCATCTTTGATGACCCAAACATGTTATCTTCACAAAATGTAAGCCGATTATCACAATGTGATTTATCCGTCTTGGCATATTGTGTGATGAATGCAGTATCTAAACTTGGCTGGTTTATCATAATTGTATCCATTTTTTTGTTATAAATTCGATTTTTCAACCTCTGAGTTTCAGCAACATTATTGAGAAGGGTCTGATTTGATAATGTAGAGTTACAGGAAGAACTGAATGCCATATTTGGTCCAAGGGCATTCTGCTGCTGTTTAGGATCATTTGATTTCTGCTCAACATTTCCTGAACTTTTGAAACTTAAGAATTTTGGGTCTGCGATTCCTGAAGACATAAGTAATGTAGTCCCACCAAGTGAACTAGTTTGGCATTGCATGTCACGTCGAATTAAAGAATCCTGAGTTGTTACCAATAAGTTTTTTGAGGACATATTCAAAGGGTTTCCATGCAACTGTGCAACTGTTGAAGCGAGGGAAGTTCCCATGTTGCTCGAAATCATACTATCATCATTATAGGGTACTCCAGTAGACAAACTGTTGACACCATACACATTCAACGACGGAGTATTTTGCCATGTTTCGCTGCATTTACTAAGATCAGGCAAATGAGCAGACACAACACTGCCCATTTCAAGTCGATCTACACCAGTCGATCGAATTGCAACTGGAGGTTGATTGCCTATCTCCCTCAACTGTGTTTGCTGATGATGTCCTTGCAATAACAAAGATTTGTTTGTTGCGCAAATCAAATTGCTGTTGGAGGCACCAGAGAAAACACCTTGCAAGTGGTTATTCAATTCATTTATCCCTTTTTGTTTTTGTTGTAGATGGTCTAGCTCCAATGATGTTGGGATACCCTGAAACAAATTCTCATGTTGGTTTACAGGAACAGCTATATGCTGAAACTTAGAGAGATCATTCATGGGAATGTTTGTGCTGTGCCGAGTTTGACCGATTTGAACCATTCCAGGAGCAAGTCCAGGCAGACCTGGTAACTTTGGGTTTGTTCTATTTGACACTCCACTTGGTTGGAATGGAGTCAAGCCATGAAAATTCGTGAAACCATTAAATGACCCCATATGTAGATATGAGGTATCTCTTCCTCCTAGAGCAGCAGCCATGTTAGCGTGCTGGCTAGCCACTGCACTTAGTCTTTTAAGGTAGAGCCTATATTTCTGCAATAAAAAATATTAAAGTGCGATGTTAGAATAATTTAGTCAAATAGAAGAGAAGAAAATATTGGGATGGTGGCTGAAAATATTGGTTGTTGAGGATACATATAGTACAACTAAAACATGGTTCAAATGTCAAGTGGTACAATGTAATAGGAGAATTACAGGGAGACAAAACTAAAGTTTTAACAAAGCAATTCCAGATTCCAAAATTGGGCAACAACAAAATTATTAACAACCAAGTTGAGTATGATAGAAATAAGAATATTAGTATAGGATGAGGCAAATCAAGAAATTATAGAATCAAAAAAATTATCTTAGATGGATTGGGCATGTTAAACAAAGATGGAAATTGGAAGGAAAGAGAAGGAGAAGTGATTCACCAAAGATAATGACACCGGAAATAGTTAAGAGACAGAAAATAACCAAATAGATTACTAAAAGCCTGAAGTGAGGGCTGGAAAGCCTTAGCACTGCTGAAAGGTTCTTATTATGGCTCCTATTGTGGCCATTGATTGCAGGACTAAAGGGAAAAAGCTGAACAGCAGTGGACAGCAAGAGGAGGCGAAGACCAGCTGCTGTTGCGACCAGCTGAAGGTGGCCGGGCAACCAGAGGAGGGGTCCTTGTGGTGGTTGCAGGCGTATGAGGTCTGTGGGAGAGCAAGAGATTGTTTCTTGATGAGTTTTCAGGCAGATGAAGGCTGCAGGGACAGCAGAAGATGGCTTTCTTGGGGTTGGAGCAAGAAGTGGAGAACACCTGGGCAGCAGGAGAAAGGAGTTGCTGTCTTTAAACAGGAGTGGAGGAAAGAAAAGCCACCAAAGGATGTTGGGGGAGAAAGATGAGGGCCAGCCACCCCCTGGAAGTCATTCCAGAATACAGAAAATGCAAGAAATCAGAAAAATAGAACTCTGAAATTTTATTTCTAACAAAAAAAAGCTACTTACAATATAAAGAGGAAGCTCTATTTATAAGAATTGAGCCCCTTGATGATGAGGATAGGATAAGAGCTAATGCTATTGATGATTAGGATAGCTACCAATAAAATAAACCATAAAAAAATTCAAATTGGGCTGATTGCTGAACCGGTTGGCTAAACCAGCCGGCGTCAGATAACATGGTTCTATATATATATAAACTAGTGCCGGAGCCACTTGAACAACTAATAAGACTGAAAGAAAAATTATTTATAAAAATGACACTATATAATTGGATAAGACTAATGATGATAATGATTTAGTAGAAATCATTGCCAGATTGAGACCATAATTCATATAAGGTTCAACATTACAACAAGATGGAAATCTAGCATCAGATGGATATTGATGTTCTAGGGAAACAATTGGAGAATTTTCTACTGATAAAAAAATCATAAATTTAAGAACAGAGAAACATAACAAGTTTTTAAGACATGCCTGTAAATGGCTTGCAACATTCTCTCTTGTGAGCTTATCAACGTTCATAATATCTAGTATCCTCTTAGGAACAGCCTCTGCATCAAGCATGATAAAAATCAACCAAATGCTAAAATAAGGATAGTTTAATACAATTTGACCACTATAAGAAAAAGATACTGGCATCTTAAATATCTAAAACAGGAAAAAAGCTCCTACTAATTAATGACATGAAAAAATTCTTACTTTCAACTCCCAATTGGTTGACAGCAGCAACAAATTTGCGGTGAAGCTCAACAGACCAAACAACCCTTGGCTTTTTCTGGCTTGATGGGTCTTCACTTTCATGAGTATCTTCTTCATAGTCGTCTTCATCTTCATCATTCTGTTCCTTCCTCTTCCTATTAACTTTTCCATTGTCATTCACAGGTCCATTGGCATCAGTAGCTTGTGTACCTTCAGAATTTGCAGCTTGGAGTTTCTCACAGTCCTCCCCATTATCAAGACTACGACGCTCCTTGCGATCAAACTTTCTCCTCCTCACAACATGCTGCCAAATATTTTTGAGCTCTTCGATTCGAACTGGTTTGAGTAGATAGTCACACGCCCCATGAGTTATCCCCTTCATTACTGCTTTGGTTTCTCCATTGGCAGACAACACTATGTTTAAAAGATTTCTTGGATCAGTGACTTCCTCTGACATCTTTGTTCAATTGAACACAAATATATTTTCACTCACATAAAGCAACTAAATCTGTTTATATGATGTACCAAACCTTAGAGTTTTGGAAAAATCTTTCACTTTTTATATTGCCTAACTGATTCTAAGTGAAAACTAACCTCTTGATGTTGCCCGATATCAAAATGTTCTCCACGCAAATCAAAATTATCCCAAAACAAAAATACATGCTAGAAAAAATTCAAAAATTTTAAAAACTAAAAGAAAAATTAACTCACTTATAACAGGGAGGTCCATTTCAAGGCCCACCAGCTCCAAAAGCTTAAATCCATCCATGTCGGGCATGTGAACATCGCTAATAACCAGATCAAACTTGTCTTTATTCTCCCTCAACATATTCAGGGCCTTGATTGCCTGATTCGTCGTTGTAACTACAAAGAAAAAAAAGATAACAAATTTTATGCCGACCTCAAATCATATTTCATGTGAAAGAAAATAAACTCAGATCCAAAAATTGCTCTCCAAAGATAAAAATGTCCAGTTATTTTACAGGACAAAAAAAAGAATTAAAATGATAATAGAAGCATCCAATACGCATCAAAGATTCAAACTTTCAAGTAAAGGATAAAACAAAACCAAAACAAATCATCTGAAAAACAAAAAAAATAGGATCCTAACCATTGTATTGGCAGCGAATCAGCAGAGTCTCCAACACCTTCAAGCAGATAGGATCATCATCCACGGCAAGCACGCGCATTCCAACGGGAAAGTTATCTCCAGGGCCTTCTTCTCTCCCCATGATCCCTCTCTTCTCCTCAACGGTCATCTTCACCAAGACCTTGGACTAGAAGCGCGAACCAGGTAAAGAAAAGCTGAGAGATGACCAAACCAAATCCTTCGAGGGTAAAAATACAAACACTAAAGAAAGCGGATTTCAACTTTCAACCCTTAGGGGCCAAGAAAGCCTACTTGAGCAGATCCTCCAAGTCAGTCTTTTTTCCTCCCAAGGCTTTGAATTGAAACAAAAAACCATAGTTTGAAGTAAAATTATTAGGAAATAAACGAATTTCCCAAATCCAGATACAGGGCAGTGCGTGAAAGAGAGAGAGGAATACTATGGCAGTAGGGTTTGTAAGCAATCAGAAAGTGGAGAGAAGCGATAAGTTAGCAAAAACAGATATGGAAAGGGTTATGACAAAGGAATCTTTATGGTAAACGGAACGCAGCCAAATAGGGAAGGGCAAATAAAGCGAGGTTATAAATCATTAAATCTCTCTCTTCTCTCTCTCCCTCTCTCTCTCTCTCTCTCAACGCTTATTTCTTCTTTGAATCTCCTGGCTTTACCATAGCCATTAATGAGATTACGAGAAGAGCATGCTGGGACATTAGGAGCTATCTGCGATGGAAGATGGAGATGCCAAAAGAAATATCGGGCACGAATGCTGTTAGACTGTTCTTTCTAGCAATAATTTTTTTGGGTGATCAACTCAAACTCAATTATGATATTATTTATATTTATTTATTTAAATTTGATTTATATTTTATTTAGAACTACTTTCTTATTATTTAATGAATTAATTTATCAGTATAAAAATTTTATATTTTTATATTAGAAAGCTCCTTCATATAACAGCTAAAAAGCTGTCCCAAACTAAGTCTTAATATGACAGAGTTGATTTATACTTTATTATGTTATTTAAAAAAATATGTTGGATATTGATAAAAAATGTCTTAAAAGATTTTTAAAGTATTTGAATTTATATTAATATTAATACAATTTAAGATATTATGTACATTACTATTCTTAATGTAATTCCGAGAGTTTTAAAATTCATGACGATGTATGTTGCATCAAGAAATTCTAACATTTTTTTCTTACTTGAAAGAAGACTTACGTCATAGAGTATAAGCAGCATTGTATACTCTAGCAGAGAGATGAACAAGGAAGAAGATAACTTACTGTATGTATTCTATTTACTGTAGTGAAGTACATCCGTATATAAAGACTTACAATAGCATAAAGTGAATCACACTTTCCATCAAACAGTGGCAAAGAGGTGAAGTAGTTGTTGATGAGCGGTTGAGATGGAAGGCTGCTACGGTTGCAACAGAGACTACGTGATTGGTACAACTGCTACATTACGTGTTACTACCTTTATTGCTTACTGCATATGGGTTTCTATTTTCACGCCTTCGCGGATTGAGGATCCCTGGTTGGAGCATCAATTTGTCTTTGAAGAAGTTAAATTTGCTATTGGGTAGAGCTTTGGTAAAAATGTAGGCAATCTGATCATTGGAAGAGATATGATGGACAACTACTTGGTTTGACTGGATGCACTCACGTATGAATTGGTGACCAATTTCGATATGTTCAGTGCATGCATGAAATATAGGGTTATAAGCAAGGGCTATTGCTGAAATGTTATCACAGCAGGCCGGTGTAAGATGGGACACTGAAGTCTTGGAGCAAGCGTCAAATCCAAATGAGTTCTATTGTAGTTGTGATAAGGGCACAATATTCAGCTTCGGTAGATGATTAAGCGGATATCGATTGCTCTTTGGCACCTCACAAAATCAATGTTGAACCCAGAAAAATGCAGTATTCGAAAGTTGATTTACAACCTATTTGGTCACCAGCTAGCCCAATTGCACCCACAAAGGCTTAAAGCTGCAAGAGAATATATTTAATAGGTAATCCAAGATTTGACGTGCCCTTAATGTAATGAAGGATGCATTTGATCATCGAGAAATGCTGATTAGTAGGGGAGTGCGTATGCTGGCACACACGGTTGATAGTATAGGATAAATCACGACGCATAAGTTGAGATAAGAGAATGAACACCCGAATAGTTTGTATTTGGCTACATGACTAAATGTCTCGGTAAAGTCCAACCCATACTCTTGTTGATATCCACGAGCAACAAGGCGAGCCTTATAGCGTGCAACAGATCCATCATGATGATATTTGGTTTTAAAAAACCATTTACAAACAAGTATATTTTGATCAGGTGGAGGAACAAAATCACATGTCCCAATGAGGATATTTAACAACAGTGGAATAACAAGTGGGATCAAGTGTAAAGGAGTGTAAAGATCTGACGAGGCTTAAGATGGCCTGATTTATGATGGGTAATCATAGGATGATGGGAATTAGGAGGAGCAAGAGGGGAATTAGAGGGAGATGATGTAGTAGAAATTTGTGGTGACTAGTGATTGGCTACAAGGATTGGGGAAGGAAGGCTGGAGGAATGAGTGGATTGGGGAGACATGTGAGGTGGAAGTTTAGGGAAATTATGAGAAAAAGTATTAGATACTAAAACAAGAGTGGGGGGAGTTTTAATGATATGACGATGTTTACGTTCTATAATGTTGTGTGGAAGGAGTGGTTGGGGAGGACATAAGTGACACAGTTGAAGTAGTTTGAAAGGGAAATATGTGTTCATGAAAGGTCACATTGATGAAGGTGATTACTTTACCTGAAACAGGACTATAACAATAGTAGCCCTTTGGGAATTTAGTATAACTGAGAAACACAGACCTGGATATAAACAGAGCTAGTTTATTTTTAGAGTGAGATGGTAGAAGGGGATATCATTGACATCTAAAACTTTAAGATGCCAATAGGTAGGTGATTTATTTTGTAGTATTTCATAGGGAGAGGGGTGTTTAGTTGTGATAGAGGGCATGTGATTTATTAGATAAAATGAGGTTAAGGCAGCATGGAACCAGACATGATAATGAAGATTGGCTTCAAGCAATAGAGTTCTGTTAGTTTTAATGATATGACGATGTTTACGTTCTATAATGCCATTTTGTTAAGGGGTATAAGGGCAACTAACTTGATGAAAAATTCCATTTTTAGTGAGAAAGGTTTTAAAGTTGTTATAGAAAAACTCAAGTCCACCATCAGTGCAAAGACTTATTATGTGTGCAACAAATTGTTTTTCCACTAGTTATTTAAACTATTTAAATTTAATGAAGGTTTATGATTTATGTAGCATAGGATATATCCATGAGTATCTTGAAAAATCATCCACAAAGAGAATGTAATAATGAAATCCATTAAAAGATGAAATTGGGGTAGGACCCCATGCATCAAAATGGATAAGTTGAAGAGGTTTGGAAGTAAATGATGCATATAAACGAAAACTAGTCATATGACACTTTGCTTGAGAACACGAACTACATGTTAAGGGAAAATAGACTTCATCTAAGGATGACTACGTACAAGTTTTGCTAAAACAATAGAACGTGGATAACCAAGTCGCTTGTGCCAAATATTTGAAGTTATGGATGTCGTGACAAGGGCTGTAGGTGATGCGGGGACAGGGTATAACCCATTAGGCATTGAACGTGGAGGAGAAGATGATTGCACTTCAAATCCTAATTTTATATCCATTTGAAGTGAACATGATAGAGCAATTATAATTAGTAGTTAGCTGTTTTTCAGAGACAAGGGGCAAAGAAGAGAGGTTTGAGCAGTAACTTACTCAAAGGAGTAGGAAGGAGACCGTATCCAGAGGTAAGAATGGGTAAGGAATGACCATTGCCTACAGACACTTGTTGGTTACCACTATAGGAGTGTGGAGTTTGAAGCTAATGAAAGTTTGGCGTGGTTGGAAGCTTTGGTGTCCAAAATCCAGTCAGTGGAGGGGGTGGTGATGTCATTGTAAGAGAAGTGACATTATGTGGTGGAGACTGATAGGATTAATCCAAGCGGTACTAGCATGTAATAGCTGAATGCCCCAGTTTGAAACATATATGACACTCAACATATGGGTTTTTAGGTCAAGGTCCATGATCTCCTGTAGTTCATCCTCCATGTGAAGCAGTACGACCTCAGAAATTGGATAGAATTCTGTCTCTTCCTCGTCCTCGATATGCAGCGAGGGCAATTTGTTGTTCTAGGTACTTAGTGAGATGAGTTTTACGGAGACTAATATTTATGATGTTAATATCTTCAGTTTACAATAATGAGAATAAATCATTAAAATTAAGCGGTTGTAAGTTGGTGCGAATTACATTTTTGAATGCATTGTAAGTGGATGGTAGACCATTTAGTGTGTATAAGATGATATCTTCAGTGTTTTGAGAGCTGATTGCATTAGTGATAGCATCCACTTTGGATTTGATGAGAGATAAGTATTGAGTCATACTCATGTCCTTCATTGCTAGAGGATGAAACTCATTATTGAGTTGAAGAATTCGAGATAAATTTGTTGATTGAAGTCTTTTCTCAATAGTAGTCCAAATATTATGAAAGGTAGTAAGGTTGAGAATATAGGGGATAAGTGGTGCATATATGACTGAGTAGAGCGCAGCGACTAGATTTTGATCTATAAGCATCCATTGGTTATTGTTTGGATTTGGAGACAACAAATTGTTGGTTGTAAGAGTATATTTAGTGGGGCAATGAGAATAACCATTAAAAATCAAGAAAGCCATTAACAATGAAGACTTTGAGGACTTGAGAATGCCAAGTGGGATGATTCTCAGTTGTAAGATAAGTATGAATAATACTTATCATATTATTCATTAAAAACTTTAGTTGAGATGGTATTTGAAGTGAATTGCTATCATTATGAGAAGGATTCTCAGTTATAGAGGGAGCATTGTTTGCCGAGTTTGTGTCTGACATTTGTTGAGCTTGAGAACATGTATGCTAAAGAAAGTCGTGAAGCACCAAAAGCTCTGATACCATGAAAGAAGACTTACACCAAAGAGTATAAGCAATTAATATTGTTATACTATAGAACAGAGAAGAATACTGGAGAGATGAACAAGGAAGAAGATAACTTTCTGTATGTATTATATATTGTAGAGAAGTACTACAATCATATATAAAGACTTGCAATAGCATAAAGTGAATCACACTTATCATCAAATGGTGGCAAGGAGGCGAAGCAGTTGTTGATGAACAGTTGAGATGGAAGGCTGCTGCTGTTTGCAACAGAGTCTGCATGGTCGATCAGTGCATCTAATATATTAGGAGGCCAAGCAAATGCTCCCTACTTTGTAATCAAGTCTAATCATTGTTACCCAACTATCATCGTTTGACCTCTATCATCCCTCGACTTCTGTTAGCAGACTAAAACATTCAATTATTATAATCATCCCTCAACTAATTCTTCGCAATCTCTATTATAATTATAGGAGGCCAAGCAAATGATCCAAACTTTGTAATCAAGTCTTCTCAAACTGTGAGAAGAATGGAGTTCTATTACTTAAAGTACATCGTGGATTCCGGTAGTTTTTTTCTTTATGGGTTTCGAATATAAAAACTATAATATTTTGTATATCATTCTCTTTTTATCTGTGTACTGAATATTCATAGAAAACTAAGACAGAAAGCTCTCTCTTCATCAACATAAATTATCTTGCACACAACATTACTCATACAAAAAACTTGAGATGCTTCATAAATAAATGGAGGATTATATACCAATTTGTAACAATTACATGTCATTGATTCATACTTCTTATGTCTATTAAGCATCTATGGAGCATATTGTTAAAGGTAAGAGATTTGTGATTGTCATAAGTACTTCAACAATTTAGAAAGACACAGAGTTACTTTTTTTTTTTTTGGGCAACAAAGAGGTAAATTTGTAACATGAATATAACATAAATTATTTATATATAATATTAATATCAAAATAAATTTAATAATTGTAAAACTAATTCAATCAAAATTATATCAGAATATTCTAACATAGTTTTTTTCTTTTTTATAAGTCTTTGGCTAATAAAAATTTTTTGCACATTTAATTATTTTTTTTCAAATAATATAAAAGATTATTCAAGAGATAAACTAATATTTTTATATAATTTATTGTCAAATGGCTCTCTTAATTATCCATTCAATGGAAAGCACTCCTATGTATATATATATACCAAAATTATTTGATATAAAAAATTGTTAGCTATAAAGATATTAATTATTTTTAATCTCAATGCAAGACTTTTGATCCAAGTGCTAAATATTGTATTAAAATATATGCAATATTACTTATTATGACCGTCATTTTATGAGACTTAGGCTTCGTTAGGGACGGCTTTCTTACTGCATCTTAAAGCAGTTTTTTAGTATAAATTTTAATATTTGTTTGGGCCTTTGGGGCAACTTTTTTATTGTACTGTAAAGTTGTTGTAGATAAAGTAAAATTTTAAAGCTAGCGTAGAAAGTAATTTTTTAATATAAATATTTTTTAGAAATAATGACTTGGACATGAAAAATAAAGTAATAAGAATGCCATCTCTAATGAAGTCTTAATTGAAAAAATAATAATATAATTCTTTATCTTCATTGCCCATAGCAATAATGTTTTGGCCTACTTTTCTTATTATTAGTATTATTGTTATTATTAGTGGTAGATATGGTTTTGTAAAGTCAACAATCTTTTAAATATTTCAAACCATTGTCAGCCGCAGAATGATTTGAACCTCCAACGGCATCAGTTACAAGTTCTATGTTCATATTTGCGCATCAAAGTAAAAGGCCCTCTTATTTAGGAGAAATTATTATATTTGGTTATTGAATTATTTAGAGGCAAATCAGGACGTGTAACATCACTTGATACACAGCGGTACATAATAATGGTACACAGTAAATTGGTGACGTGGTGCATCCTTATTGGCCTTCGGTGACCGCACATAATAATTTCGCCTAGTTTAGGGTGGTAAATGGTTTACGTCGAGTAAGAATTTGCTGAAATCTGGGCTTATTTATCAAAATTGAGTTTGAATTTTTTTGAGCTCGAGCTGGATATCGATTCGAATATTTATAGTATTATTCAAGTTCAATTTGTATATAATAATTATTTTTCTAACCCGTTGATTAAAGAAGAGATGACAAGTGAGTGAGAGATGCCTTGTTGCGAGCTCACCATCCCTTGATGGCAGTGGATGGACTACAGTAGTCCGACAATGGTGATCGGACGACAATGATCCAATTGCAATGATTTGTTGGTGGTGGTCTGTTCATTGCAATCAGGACTCATTTGAACTCGAATATTTTGCTCTTTGGTTTCATCTTGTTGAGATAGTTGATTTGATTTTAAGTATGCAAGATTTGAAAATTGTTTGATCCTTCAATTGAAATGATTATTATGAGAAGGATATGCCAAATTCACCTATAAATGGAGGATTATTCTAACAACCCCCAATCACCTTCATGATTTGTCAGGTATCACCTCTCTCTTTCTTTAATTAGTCATGCTATCTTAACCTAAAGATGGAGTATTGTTATGACTTCTCGCAATCAAGTTGTGTTTCTTTCGCCTCCAAAGAGGGTTACCATTTCCAACCTTCTAGCATCATATCATTAATGCCTTTGGATGGTGTTGTGAGTCAAGTCGGTTCAAGCTCGACTTGTTAACGAGCTCAGGAGCCAAACATATTGAGCCACAAGTTCTAACTCGAGCTCAACTTGACTCTGATTGAAATTTAGTTGAGCCGCTCAATTAACTGAAAATATATATTTAAAAATTAATTAAAATTAGCACTATATAATATATTTAATATTGTAAATTAATTATATATTAGAAATAAAAATTATATAAAATTTTGAACGATTTATTTAAACCTAAGAAATCGAGCTCAACAATTGAACAATTGAGCTGAGCTTGAGCCTATAGTTTTTTTTAGAGTTGAGCTCAAGCTCAACAAAAACTAAACAAGTTTAAATTGATTAGATAGATACTCAACTCGACTCAATTCGTTTATGCCTCTAATTGCCCACCTAATGTAGGGGGCTATCCAATAGTAAATCTTATTATAGCGTTGAATCTAGCAATGCTAGTGACACCCTTTTTTGAAATATTTAGGCTAATAAGATAAATACACACATAGATCATATATGCAAGATTCAAATTTAAGATATCTTGGCTAGTAGCCGACCATGAATAAAAGAAACCTAATAGTTGCGGGGATCTATAGTGGTGGCACCAACGACTGCCCGTTGGCCAGGCCTAAGCAAGTGGTATTGGCAATAGCCGACTGCGGGTGGCAATGCACATAAAAATTTTCTCTAAATTTCTTTTTCAAACAAAATTCAAACATTAAAATTTTTAAAAATTATAGATGATCGTGATCTTGTACATCTTAATTACAAATGTCTTAACAATTTTTTCTCTGTTTTAGATTATATATGAATTTCCACTTCACAAAAAAAAAAATTCTCTAAATTTCTTTTTCAATCCAACGTCAAATTTTTTTAAAAAATATATAATATGCATAAAATGCCCTAAATCAAACAAGCCCTTAATATCTGTGAATAAAAAAATTGCCTTATGCCTTGACTTCAAATGGTTGCTTTAATGCCACCAGCTTTCACAGCTTTGTATGATTAATCTAATGCATTAATGTGTCAGAGACGTGCTAATCACTCTAATTAAGCCCTATAATACAAATTATGATTTGCTAACTATGTTTTAGGTAGCTAATTAGCAGAAAGTGCTGTCCACTTAATTTAAAATAAGAAAAAAGGCATTGAAGTTAGAAGTGCTGTGTGCACACGCAAAGCTTTTACATTGGCAACTTCAAATTCCAAAATCTTTTCACCTGAATTTATTAATTCCTTCAGTCATCCAAAGCCTCACCTTTAAAGTAGTTCATATTTAAAAAGCAGCGCTATAATGCCCTCATTTATTAAACCTTTTATTAATTTATTTAGCTTATGAAATAATAATTTTTTTTTCATTTAAATTCTTATTTCTCTCAAAACCATTTACATTAGTTGTATTAGCTCTAACTATTTAAATATTATCAATTTTTTTTTGCTATTTGCATTTAGCTCCCTTCAAAATTAGATTAGTAGAAAAACAACCATCATTAGGAGGCCATTTAGCTTCCTTGGTAATTAGTTACCAGGGATCATTATGCAAGTAAACAAAATGATCTTTCAAGTTCGGGCTTGATTCAATAAATAACACGATGAACTAATAAGTCAAATTTAAACTACATGCGGCTTGACTCTTCGGCTTGTGAGTCAATTCGTTTAAAAAATATTGATAGTAGATACATTAAAAATATATATAAATTTAATAAAATTAGTATAAAATTATTAAAAATATTTGAAAATTATAATATATTTATTTCAAGTGATTTTTTGTTATGAAAATCTTGAGAGCTTCTTGCTCTTCTTGGATTGAGAGAGGGAGAGAAAATGGAGAGGGTGAGGAACACAAATCTTTATTGATATGTTCAATCAGGGTGTTGGGATATTGGTCCAAATTTATGTTTGTATTTTTCAATTATATATATTTTGTAGGTTCTTGTATAACTTTGGTATTAGAGTTTATAAATTGGTGTTATAGCTACACAAAAAAGAGCCTAAAGAAAGTACAGCTGAAAACTAACATAAAACAGGACCAAATCCTAATATTTCTTACTATTTCTCATTTAATGTATTGTTCTTTTTATTATGTTACTGTAATCATTTGTTTGAAGAATGAACAATTCATATCTTCTAGATATGATAAATGAGTCAGTTTGTGAGCTAACTCAAATTTATAAACTTAAGCTCAAACTAGATTAATCAAGCTCAAGCTTAAACCGAATGTGACTCGAGCTCGACTTGACTTGTTTACACCTCTAAGATTGAAATAGTTCAGCATTTTATGCTATTTAAAGGGGCCGACACTGCCTATCCGATTAAGTAATAATCCTAAAAAAAATTGCATTCTCTTCTCAAATTCTCCTCACACTCAGCCATCAAGTGCCAACCTTGATTCCTGACAACCTTAAGCACTAAACAAAAAATATAGATTAGCAGATAAAAATTGCCATCATCATGAGAACTAGAAGAAAAAAATTGAAATCATTTTGAAAGCAAGAGTGTGAAAGTAATGGAGAACCAAACATATACACATTTCTTTTTTTTAGAACTTGATTTTGTGTACAAAAACCATGACTTTTGGCAATTCATTTACTATCTCTAAAGCTGGGCAAACCATGAATCCAATCCCAGAAGAAAGTTTCCATATCTTCAATTAATGGGCAATCAAATAAGCTTCATAAATCAATTTCAGAACTTTGCAGGGAGACTAAAAAAGTTAACCTGAACTTCTCTTGCGCTTGTCTTGCCAGAAATTCAGTGCAGTTCAACAGAGCCAGTAATCATTCAGCTCCATAGGCTTCGAGAAGAGAGGCTAACATCATATGAAAGAATATGTCACACGAACCTGAAGTTCACTTCTTGCCAAATCTCAAGCATTTATTATGCTTTGCTTCAGGCATGGTTGAGGGAGGTTGATTGTTTTGCCTTGCCTGCAACCTTGTCATGGAGAGCTTCTCCATTGCGTTCATGAATTTCCTCAGATGTTTTATGTACTCGGGATAAGTTTCCAGATTACAGTGGCCACCGCCTTTGATCCATAATGGGTCAAATTTTTCTTTGGCGAGCTCCCACAGGCGTTTCCCATGAGACCAATCGACAATATCATCAGCTGTTCCCTGTTAAAGATTGGTCAAGTATTAAAAGCTCTGTAGTATATTTTATAGAATGGATCAGATTAGCTTGCTTGATGGTAAACAATCAGTAGATAACGAAGTTACAAGTTTGGCCTTGGATAGTTGGATATTAATATGCAAAGGAACTATGTGTAGGAATTTCTTTAATTTACTTCTTCATGAACAAACATTACAAGTTAAACTGATGTTGAAAGCACATTAAGGTTCAGTCACAAATAATTAGGCTTCTAATGAAAAGATCAGAAGATATTCTCTTGCAATTTTTCCGGAGCATGGACATCATTTCAAACTATGATACAGCTAGAATGACAACTAAGTTAACCAGTTGGCATCAGAATATTGAGCATTAGTAACCTAACATGTACATAACCAAAGAAAAACATGTTAGTATCGCTAAAGATATAGCCCAGGAACTAAAATTAGGCTTCATGTCACATCGTCATCGTGAGTGTTATTAATAGAGCACCCTTGGCTTCTACCACAGCAAATCTGACCCCTCTCTTCTCAAACTTACTCAACATCGCACTCAAATATACTTATCTACGTCAATGACATCCTTCTCACCGGAAATGACCCCTCAGCCATATCTACTCATTCACCAACTGGGCAGAACATTCACTATAAAACATCTTGGACTAGCCCACAATTTATTGGCATTCAAATCAACCTGCACACAAATCAATACTCTCTCCCAGCAGACATATGCTCTCTCCATCCTAAATCAAGCAGCTCTCACCCAATGCAACCCATTGTCCAACCCCACCTTCACGAAAATCCAACAAACCTTCAAACCGATCCACTACGATCTCCGATCCCAACCTGTACCGCAGACTTACAGGATCTTTACAGTATCTAACTCTAAGTAGCCCCGACATTGCATATGTAGTCAACCTTCTCTGTCAACATATGCACAACCCTCAACAACATCACATCCATCTACTCAAACGCCTTCTTCGATACATCAAAGGTACCCTCCACTACGGCATACCCATCACTAAAAGTCAGTTGCATCTCACGTCCTTCTCCGAGGCCGACTGGGCAAGCGACCCTATATCCCGCAAATCCATCTATGGATACTACTCATTTCTTGGGAATAAACTTATCTCATGGAGTGTTAATAAACAACACATGGTAGCCCGATCTTCCATAGAGTCTAAATATAGAGCACTCGCGGCAGCAAAAGTCGACATACTCTGGCTTTGGCATCTCTTGAATGACTTCAAGCTTCCAATAGACCAACCTACAGATCTCTACTGTGACAATACATTTGCTCTTGCTCTTGTTAATAATCCAGTTTTTCATGTCCGAACTAAGCACATAGAGATAGACCACCACTTCATTCGTGATCACATACACAACAACAATATTTGAATTCTTCTCATCAGCACTGTGGACCTAGTAACATATATGCTTAATAAAACCCTTGACTACTCCAAGATTTCATCAGCTAAGGTTCAAACTAATGGTCATTCCAAACACATCAGTTTGCACAGGCATAATAGAACACAAAACCATTTCCTTTGACAAGGCAACAACAACTCACATGCTACAATAAATCTCAGTCGTTTGTGTATAACAAACAGCCTCATCATACTCATACACGTGTAAAGCTACCCAAGCTCAAGCCTATATAAACAGATGAACTGCTACAGGTATCTACAATGAAAATGATGATTCACCAAAATACAATGAAAAAGATGATTCCAATAGATCTAAGGTCCTGTGAAGTTGTTTTGGGTCCATCCTAAGTCTAAGGGTGACTTAGGGGTGTCAACTTTTGACACGACCCGAAAACCCGACCCGGACCCGACCCGGAAAATCCGGGTTGGACCCGACCCGTTTGATAAACTGGTCGGGTTCGGGTTCACAGATTCGACCCGTTTAAAAAACGGGTCGGGTTCGGGTTGACCCGGCGGGTTGCCGGGTCAACCCGCGAACCCGTTTAATTCAAAAAAATTTGAATCCCGCGCCTGCACCGCCGAGCTGTCGCCGCCTGCGCGCCGTGCTGCCCGCGGAGCCCGCCCGCGCTGCCCGCTGCCTGCCCGCGGAGGCCTGCCTGCCTGCCCGCGCTGCTGCCGCGGAGTCCCGCCTGCGGGGCTGCGCCAGCGCTGCCTGCCCGCGGAGCCTGCCTGCCCGCGCTTCTGCCCAGCGGCGCCGCGCGCCATCGCGCCTGGCCCCCGCTCTCGCCCCGCAGTCCGCCGTCCGCCAGCAGCCAACCGGGTCGGGTCGGGTCAAACCGTTAACCCGCCGGGTCGGGTCCGGGTTGGGATTTCCGACCCGTTTGAACCTGGGTCAGTTCCAGGTTCGACCCGAACCCGACCTGTGACCCGAAATTGACACCCCTAGGGTGACTCAGAACTATGCAAATGTGAAAGAGGTTACTATGTTAACAGGCAAAAATAAATTTAATGCATGTAGGATGCGATTTAGATGCTAAACATATAAGAAAAAGTTTTCCTAATAGGCACCTAAATACAACCATGGTCTGATACAAAAATGATATAGAACTAGAACATATGTGAAGTTAAGCAATATTAAAATCACACGCCAGTTGAATTATGTTAGATTCTCGTGACTTAAACAAAAAAGTTAGAACATTAAAAAGATGATTAAAGCTTAGGCCAAACTACATGTAAGAGTTTAGAAACACGAATAATCAATTCTAATCAAGACTAGCAAACATGGGGAATTTTCAATAGAAATCCCTAAATTAACAATAAGAATAGTCACTAGTTGGGTCCCTCAACTCTTTTAATGATTGGTAAAATGGAGAAAATATTGCATGATCTTTGTGATGCTACAAATTAAGACTTAGAAAGGAAAAGAATTTGGATGAAAGATTCACCTTGATCAAGGTTTGGAAACAATCTGCCACTGCACGGAGGAGAGTTGTTTGTTGATAGCTTCAGCGAGGGTAAATACGATCCTCTCTACGTATTCCTCTATGGTTTGGTCAATTTCCGGATTGATGTCGAAGAACGGTGAGTTGAGGATATCGACTTGACCTAGATCGTTGTAAACAAATCCGTGATTAAGTTATGGATCCGCCATGCATGGGTAGAGGAGTTTATCAAAGTATTGGAGAGGGAGTGGTGTTGCTTCTTCTCTCCTTTCTTCCTTAGGTGATGAATCAAGCCAAGTACAACGGTGGGGAGAGGAGTGGGTGGTCGGCCAAGACTAGGATGAGGAGTTCTTTCACAAAATCTGAAATTGAATTTCAAGTTTGAGTAGGAGGGAATTAGGGTTTTGAATTTTGAATCTCAAGTAAGGGGAGGGAAAAGAAAGACACTCCTTATTGGGAGAATTGATTGAAACTCCAAGAGGGAGGAAGTTAATGTGGAGAAGAGAGAGGGAAGGGGGGAGGGGCCGGAGGCATGCTTAGGTTTAGTGGGGATTGGGAAAGGGGATTCAAAGCTTGCCTTATCAAGAATCTTAAATAAGGAAAAATTGATTTTAATCAAATCCAAATTGAAATTTAATTATACTTGATTTAAGTAACTTTCCTAAATAAACCATCGTATTTTAGGAAATAATTTCAAATTCAAATTGATTGGGAATTGAGATCAATGACTTTCCTAATTAAAGATATTGAATAAATGGAAAGTACTAAATAGAGATTTGAATTTTGGAGGCAAGGGAAAGGGGGATGAGGCCGGCGGCTAGGTTTAGGTTAGGGTTGGGGCCGGTGGTTTGGAGGAGGAAGGGAACCTTGAAGCCGACGATTTGGAGAGGTGAGGAGGGGCCTTATGGCTAGCGGTTTGGAGGTGGGAGATGCGGTGGCCGGCCAAGTTTGGGGTGGTGGTGGGGTTCGGCCGAGAGAGGGAGGGAGGGATATAGGGCCGGCGGTTTGTGGAGAGGGAAGGGAGGAAGGAGAAAGAGGTGATCGACCACGAACCTAAACGCTTCCTACGGTTGGTGGGTATTGTGATGCCCTCACCTAGAGACTTCAATCTCTCCAAGAACTCTGAAGCTCTCCCAAAACACACAAGTGCAGAATTTCTTGTAATAATATTCATTAACCTCAAAAGAGAATATTCCCTCAAGTGAGGGTACAAATGAAAAATGCAATAATATACTCAAATACATATAATACTCAAAAATAAATTGGTGCGATCGTGGCCATAGATTGTCAGTCCCACCTCTGATAAACTCTCCAAGCTCGGATGTACTCAAAATAATCTTTCATCACCTTAGCTTGATATCTTCATTAAAAATCAACACTAGCAGAATGAAAAATATAGAAATTTTTACAATTCATTAAGACTATCTCCAACCGAACTGCATGAGGTGGTATGCCATTTGCCCTTCGCTCCAATCAAATGCTAAGTCGCACTGTTTATCTACGCCAAATTTTTTTTGTAACGGGATTTGCTGAAGAAGCGCCCGAAAGAAGAGAAAGATGATTACCTTGCAACGAGATAAAGAAGCGCGCAAAAGAGGAGAAAGACATAGAGTTTGATTGGAGATGAATTACTGCATTTTGAATTTTTATTGCATTTTGGAGTGGAAAATGGGTTTTTCGGTTGGAGATGCCCTAAGCCTAACAAGTACGTATGTTTATAAGAACTTATGTTTGTCACTACTACTATTGAACTATTGCGTTGCATTTGTTTTCCTACAAATTAAGCATTATCCTTCAATATTAAATTAAAAATTATGTATCAAACAAAAATTTCAAACCTCCATAAATTGTATTCAATCCATCCCCCTTGGCTTCAAATTCAGCCTAACAGAATACTATTCAATTATGATTAGGCTCCAAATTTGAGGAATTTTTTCAGTATTTTTCAAACCTCAAGTTACATAAATCTTACTCATGTGTGAGGTAATGTCCATGATTGTGATTCAACACTTCTCCCATTCTACATAAATCAAATCCTCCATGTAGTTAGAAGATGTTAGAATATGACGATCATTTTCAAAAGTTCAATCAATCTTGGGTTAAAAAGTTTCTAGTCATATAGGTTCCTCATTTCACCAAATATTGCAGGTTTCAACTACAATGTCCAAGAAAATCACAATATGAATCCAAGAATTATTAGTTCCGTGCGGAATCTTATTGTATTTTGATCAAACGGGTTGTATGTTGTCTCAAAACCTCAATTCAATTTGTTGAGTTTTCTGGGGAGTTGCAGGGGGTCCTCCCCCTGCTTGGGTTCAGATGTTGTGTACCCAAGCGCTGCGGCGCTATACAATTTGCTTGGAAAAAGACAGAGAGCAGAGAACTACGACGCTCCAAACCTCGGCGATGTCATGCAAACATGAGACAGAGAGTTGAGCGTCATGGCGCTATGAGACGGGCTAGTAGTTTTCTTTCTCATTTTCATTAATGGTTGCATATGGTGGTTAAATACGTTTTCTCTATGTTTGTTCTTGTAATAGAATGGTGTAAGGGTGTAGAGAGACAAGGAGAGTGAGAGAGAAGAGATATTTGTACTTATTTCTCTCAATTTTTATAGTGAATTTGTTGGGGTGGCGTGGCTCCGTGATTTTTTTCTAGTTTGGGGTTTTCCACATTAAATTCTAATGTTCTTTCTTTCCGCTGCTTTTTCTAATTCTTGTTTGTGTTCGTTGTATGTTTTACTTCCCCGGCCCAGCAATAATAAAAATTTCAATCTAAATCCAATAATGTAATCTTTCTTTAAAAAATATATTACAATACCAAAGGACACTTGATGAATCATAATATCTAGGCCATCTAAATAAAGATTATGAATCAAAGTATTTGAGAATAATGCACACTAACGACAAGACACAATTCATAATTAGACAAATCCTCAAATTCAGTTTTGTAATGAAACACCGTAGCATTATGACAACGAAAAATCTCTCTCGTTTAGCTCCAGATATTTTTGTGACTAAAATTTAAATCCAAGATTTTTATGCTAGCTTTTTGGAGTAATAAATAGTTTTGGCTATTCAGTTGATAAGAGGCTGAAACCTAGCATTTTGAGGTACAATTGAAAATTGAGAACTTGGGAAGAGAGGAATATTTGCACAGCTTCAAGAGAAAGTCAAGCTAAAATCGATTTGAAACAGACAATATTTCAAATTACTTTTAAAAAGGTGTATATCATCAATAAACTGGTTTCAATTATGAAAGAAAATATAACAACAAAATTAAACCATATAAGTAAATAAATGTGGGATGCAAATCGTCAAATAATATTATATCCCTTTTTATGCTTTATGTTTATGCAAGCTAAACAACATAAGAATGTGTTTGTCTACATTTCAATTCTTCCCTGAGTATACAGTTTGGATTTCAATTCAAAAAAGTGTTGAAATGGATGTCCAAGTCCCAACAAACTTTTGGAGATTAGGAAGCATAAAGCCAGAAATAATGCTAACCCCTGGACATTGGTTTCAAAATATCACAAGTTCAAAATCAGTTAAAGCAACAAACGGCTGGTAACCTTAGATATTCAGCAAAATTATGGAACAAACTATGATGTACCGACACTTCTTTTCAAAGAGTTGTGCGGTGTCCGACACAACACGCGTCCGACACGCCTCCAACACGCGTCGGACACACAAAAATGTGTCCGATTAAAAAAATATTAAAAACAAATTAGACATGCATGTCTTAAATATTTTATGATTTTTTAAAATATATTTTTCTTGTATTTAAAATTTTAATTTATTTAAAATATAAAAACTAAATTTCTTATTTCATATCCATAACACTAAATCAATTGTCCGAACTATTGAATATTCTCATTTTCATTTCCCTTTGGTGGGTTGCGGATTTGGTTTCACAACAATGTCTGATGTCATCTCAACATCGAAGTCTGACGTCGTTACAATATCGACATTTCAAATCCATCTCAACATCAAAGTTTGACATAGTCTTGACATTGATTATCAACGCTAGCAATTTCTACACCAACAACTTGACAGCTCATCTTTGTCCGACGTCGTCTTAACATTGACGACTAATGCCCTCTCAACATCGACGACAAACCCTCATGACATTGACGTCCGATATTTACTATATAACATCGATGTCCGACTCTCGACGGTATTGTCGTCTCCTCTCTCGATGTCTAATAAACGACATTGATGCCCAACTCTCCAAATCCTAATGTTAATCATTTTAAGCAAAAATTCTAGTTAAATGACTTTTTATTTATAAATTATTTTTAATATTATACTTATTCAATTTTATGCAGTATTTTTAAAATATAAAAATTATAATACAGTGTCAAACTCATGGCCGTATCCTATATTTTCAATAATTGGAGTGCCCTGTGTCTGTGTCGTATCGTATCAATGTCGTTGTGTTCGTATCTATGAATCATAGGCCTAGTACAAAATATACTTGGATAAAACATTTTTATCAAACGCAAAAAACCATTGTGTTACTTTAGATTAAGAAAAGCGTGTGATCAATGTAATGGTATGATTACAAATATGAGATGGTCAAGCCAGTAAAAGAAGACAAGATATTATATGACATGACATTCAAGATTTTATATTGAAGAACTCACTTACAAAATGGAATAGAAACTCACATGTATTACAAGAACAGGACAGTTGACAAGTCGTATTCTGTCAATATTCTGTGATAAGAGTCAGGTAAAGAATTTATCAAAACATCATAGCAGTAAGAAAGAACAATCCAAAAAGTTGAGAAACATAATAATAGACGCATCATATTTATATGACTTAAATTTTGAAACATGCCTTAAATATGTCAAACCAGAATGTCATCTTCACAGGATATAAAACCCTTATTCCAGACAAGATTGCACTGTGCAAGACAACACCTCTCAGTCTTGGCAGGCGCGCAGCCAAATGCAGTGTTGGTCCACTGCCAACTGATTGGCCATACAATATAAGATCTTCTTGCAGTATCCCATACTCTCTCTTCAAGCATTCATAAACGGCTTCTATGTCATGGTAAGTATTGAACTCTGACGGCTTTTGAGGATGAGCGATCATACAAGCAGAAATCAAAGATACATTTAGAAAACTAATTAAAGAAGAATGATTATGAACTAAAAAAACAAATTATTTATCATCTCTATTTCTGGGTATATAGCGGGAGATTAGCAATCAGTTAGAGATACATTTTCAACAATTCAGTAATAAATTATTTTGTATGGTTTGGTTATCCAAAGCATTTCTTATTTGACTCATTAATAGTTGAGACTTTCCAAGCAAATAACTTCATACGAAGAATTTTATAAGCATGAAAAAGGCATATGTAGACAAGCTATCACAATTCAAAAACCTGTAGCAACAGTTAAATTGTGTTAGGTTAGTGGTATCGAATATAGCACATGAAGACTAGAAACTAAATACAGCAAATTTACATATATAATCTCATAAAATTTACATGATTTGATGAGGTTCATCCAAGTTTATGACTACACAGAGATTGAATGGTTCACAGTTTCAGAAAAAATGCTACACTTCAAATAAAATTGGATATAAGGAAAGAGATATCCCTTCATTTATGTCAATGATTAAGAGAGAACACAATTACTACTACGAAGATGAAGACTAGATATGGAGAAAAAAATGTTGTTGCGATTGTTGTTACTCTCTTCCTTTATCCCCATGCAGGAGTCCAAATGAGAGTTCTCTTACTGTTGTTAAAAGCTTATCCTCCTGATGGAATCAAAATCAACACCTCTTTAATAAAGAAACAAAAGACGTCCCTTCTACAAGCACACAAAAATTCCTCTCTCTTCTCTTGATTTTTAGTCCCCCTCCCATTTTCCTCATTCATAGTTTTATTTACTGGTGATCATGGGAATCAAAATTTTTGCTTCTAAAGCTCTATTTATAGTGATAACAAGGAATATATTTGGAGACATAATTTATTATAACATTTTGCAATAAATAAAAAAATCTCTTAAAATCAATAAAAGATCTCACAAGGTCTCGTGAGACAAATAAATGAATTCTTCAATATATTTATATTAATACAAGATTTTCAAACATTATTAAAGCACGTAAAAATAGATTAGTCAAATTATTGCATTTAAATAGACTATTCAACAATATCTTGTGAAGATTTCATTATGTAGAAATTTGGCTCCAAAATTCCCAAATCTTCAACTTAAAGGCATAAATTTTTAAGTTGCAAAGAAAACTCATCTCTTTGTTCTCTTGGTTGTTAGCCCATCTCTTTCTCTCCTTATTTTTCTTTTTATTTGCTCATAGTCATGGGATATCAAATCCTTTCTTTTAATTTTTATTTATGATGTTAACAAGAAAAAAGTTTAAAGTCATAGAAATTATTACAAGATCTCACAATATATTACAATATCTATTAATGTTAATAAAAGATCTCAAAACATCCCTTGAAGTTTATAAAATTAGTCTAAGATTTATATTTAGAAAGGAGATTCAACTATATATTGTTAATATTTTATTATGAAAAATTTTTGCTACAAAATTCCAATAAAAAGTTGGATCATCCAATTTTGCATACTCAAGACTTCCAATTATATGTGTTGGACAGCAAATGCCATCATTGGTATCAGAAAAACAGTAACTGAACCACTGGTATATCAGCAAAAGAATGACTAGCAAAGAAGATATGACAATCAAAGTGATCTTTTACGATAACTGCACGATTGCATTCATGATTCTTCACCTAAACCCGAACTACAATGCCAAATTAAAACAAATACTCCATATTATAAGCCTGAACCAACTCAAGTTAGAGGGGAGTTTCAAGCATAGCCAAGAAAAGATTTTTTTTTTTTATAAATATGAAGAGAAGTTAATAGCAATTAAGCATCATCATCGATAAGCTTAAACTTTGTTGATAGTTTCTGTACAATATTACACCAGGATGTTCAAAATATTATGCAACAATGAATAGATGCAAGATTTAGAAACAAATTTGTTTTACTGGCATGATAGAGTAAATATTCTTACCTTGCCAGAAGAGGCCCCATATCCAGAGTAATCGTAGCTGCAAATTAAAAAAAAAAAAATGATCCAACATCACTCCACAGATCACAGAAACATGAACGGGTACTCTAATTATCTAATAACATATACCACTATAATAATGTCACCGGTTGATCATCAAAGGGAAAAAAAACTAACAAAAAAAAATGTTTTATTTCCTAATTGAAGCCTTGTCAGCCATAGCTTATGGAAATCAAAACTACTTATTTCTATGTATCCTTTCTTTTTTCAAGATTTAAAGCCAAATTCTACATAAATCAAACTGAATTTCGGTAAATAAGAGTGCCACAACAATTATAGCATTGAAGACGCTCGAGGATTTTCAGGAGATGCAAGCCAGAATACGGTAAATGTTACCCTAAAACTTTTTTACATTTTCAGATAATTTAGACGAAGTAATAGCACATTTGCTCAGAAATCTAATATCCCCAATCCAATCACATCGCAAAGAGAAAATCAAAAGAAAACTCTCAACACCAAAATCCATCAAATCAAAACCAATAAACCCAAAAAAAAAGTAAATCCAAAAGCCGAAATGAAAGATTGCAATAAGCACGCACCACATGATGTTGACTCGAAGGTGAGCCCGAAGCTCAATGAATAAGTCGAGCATTTGTCCGAGATCGGCCGCATTACCATGGGAATACAGAATCGTGAATCGTGCATAAGGATGTCGCCAAAATGTAGCAATGATCTTGTTCCCAGCCTTGGTCTCGATCAAATGCACCTCCATGTTCTTATCCGCCGACACACCCGAGAAGAAAAGCTTCCCCGTCCCTCCTCCCTCCCTGAACACCTCGTAAGTCGCCGGCTCCGGCGGGAAAAACGCAAACTTCGCCGCCACCGTCGACGTCACATTACCCATAGCTTTATTCCCCCTCCTTCGTTCTCCCCGTTCCACCTTATTGAGAAAGAATGACAGGTAAGGCGAGGAGGGGGCGATGACAGAGGGAGATGGATGGGAGGAAATAAGACCGGGTGTCGGAGTTTGGATTAATACTAATCATGTATTAATTAATATAATTAATTATTTAATTAATCATGTGTTGATTTAGTTTAATGTACGAAAGAGAAAGGAAAATTGATGGAAAATGATTTGGATTAACAGATAGGATGATGAGCTGTATGAAAAGCAACGCAAAGGTGTGAGATTTTTTTTTTTAATTAAATAAAACTTTTTTCCTTTAACATAAAATTGATAAAATAATTAAATTAGTTTATTTAATTTAATATTTTCTTTTATTTATTTCTTATTATTAAGTGTTAAATTAAATTATGATTATAAAGTTTAATTAGATTTCCTCAAATTAATATTGAATATTTAGTATTTATTTTTTATTTAAAACTATAAATATCATTCATTGAAGCTAATTATTTAAATAAAGTTGATCATAAATTAATTTCAAATAAAAAATCAAGAAAATATGTACATTAAAGTAGTGCATTAGCCTTTATTTGGCTAAAAAAGCTATCACTTAACCATTCCCAAAAATTTTAATATCACGGTCATATAAAGTATTAATAATCATACAAAAATTTATACTATATATTTATAAGAAAATATAACTATTTTATTAGAGGAGCAGTTTTATTTATTTAAAAAGAATTACATCCTAAATTAAATAAAATTTATCTAAAATGTTTTAGAGGTATTTGTATAAATGAAATTAAATACAAGCTATTATTTTTTTATTAGATTTGAATTAAAATAAATATATTATAAAGCTAAAAAATAATGACTATATGTGACGAACAGTATTAGGGGGAGGTAAAGGTTGGTGGTTGTGATTAATAAGGTCAACGAAAGAGAAATTATTCTGTGCGGATGCCTGACGCAGCTCTGTGTCAGGTGGCAAATCAGGTGCAGCCACGTCAGCAGTACCGGATGTGGTACATAGTGAAGGGGCGACATGGTGCATTTTGGTTGGTTTCCATACAGTATTCAGCGTCCGCACAAAATAATTAATCCAACGATGACGACGGCTAATGATGGAGGCAACTAATAGTTTGTGGTAGCAATTTTAATAAATTTTACTATGTATTTAAAAATATTGTAAAATTTATCAATTTCAAATACATCAAATTTATACGAAAAAGTATATTCCAAATGCATCAAAAAATATACTATATTTTTCTTCAAATTAAATATTTAAAATATGTTGTAGCCATTTTAATTTGGACAAACAGCCCCCCAAATATTATTCATAAAATTAAAAAATATATATATCTCACTAATTGAATCACATGAAGGTCATGTAAACGTACCAAATTTTTAATACTTTTATTTGATTTTTTAAAATGTATAAAAAATCTTACTTATACCCATTTACTTTATTATAATATTTAAATTTTAGCGTATGAATAAATTATTATTATTATTCATTTATAAAGTGAGCTTCAGAAAAAAAGGAACGGGTCTCGGATAAACAATGGATGGTCAAGATCCGGTCAAAGGCTGCAACTGCGAGTCAGACATTCTTTCTATGGATGTTGACGACAGCCGTCACGCCTCACAAATAAGCTCGAAACGCTTGCACCCGCTTTCAGGGAACGCGGTGGCGTTTTGGGTGAGAAATTGGTTTCACGGTGAAAAGTGCGATATTTAAGGATAAATAAAAGGGCTTTTTATATACATAATACTTAAAATTTTTATAAATACTTATTTAACACTCAAATTTTTATATTTACTAATATACCACTTAAAATTCATTTTTTCATATATTTTAACACTCAGTTTGAGCCCCGTCAAAAATCCCGTCTGAACCGCCTTCTCTGTCGCGTTAGTTTAGATCTCAACAGCATTCTGAAGCTTTGAAAAACAGAAGGTTTCAATTCCTTCAGCTCTAGCTCTTCTTTCCTTTTTTAGGATTTCTTCCGCTTTCTTCTTCCCTAATCGTCAATCATGACCTCTTGTCTGAAACATTATAGCTGGAGAAAAAGGATATTTTAGAGTCGTATTGTGGAAATCTTTCTTCTTTTTGCAATTTGGATATTTTAGAGTCGCATCTGTTGTTGCCTATACTTTTTTTTCTCTCTTTATTCCCTTTTACAAATATCTTATATTTGTGTTTGGATTGAAGGAGAATGAAGGAAATGAAAAGAGGAAACTTGCCACTGTAGATTATGAAACTATGAAAGCTGATTTTGGTGATTTTTATGACCAACAAATTCTTCCATATTTGGGACGGGAGGCAGTTTACCTAATCCATTTTATTATGTTTCAAAGGAAGAACTTATAGGAGGTTAGACGGGCGGCTCTGATGGGAACGGTGAGCTTTGTTTTGATGGGAACATAACAAGATGAGCAGGAGGAAACGAAGTGGTATTTTAGAAAGGCAAAGAGCTTTTTAGTGGTATGTGTGCAAATATGTAAGTTTAGATGTTAGATAAGTAAATAACATAGTTTTAAGTGTTATGTATGTAAAAAATCCTAAATAAAAAATAAATTCATTTTTTTTTTGGACATTTAGGCCATTTAAGACAAATTCACACACATAATGCATATACAAGATTCGAACCAAAAAACTCTTAGTTAGAAGCATAAACTCTCAACCAACAAGTCAAGGTGAGCTGCGTAATAAATTCAAGTTGGTCGACGTCGAACTGCCACCATGCAAGCATGGGCGGAACCATGTAGTTTTTAGGGTTGCCCCCCCCCCCCCCCATCATTCCCGACCCATCAATTTGACGGGGCATATTAGAATATGTATTTACATACACATTTATATAAGCTCGTATTCTAGAATATCATTGGTATACTTGTAATTACTGTTACCTCTCTCCTCTTCCTGCTCTATATAAAGACAAGAAATCTATCTGTATTAATACATTGATTAATAAAGATTTTATACTTTGTTCTCTATGGGCTCTTGCAAGAAACAGTGATTACGTTTCTACATGGTATCAGATAAAGGCTATCGATCCGAGTTATGACTGAATCAGCGTCATCTCGCCTTCAAGATCGCAGTGTAAGTCTGCAATCAGATGAATCCGCAATTCCAGCCACGCTCAAGTTCGTGGTCTCGAACTTGCGAAATCTGGTGACATCGCCACTTGCCCCTGAAAATTTCTTGATTTGGAAATCCCAGGTTCTAAAAACTCTGAGAGCAAATGGTTTTCTGAATTTTCTTGATTCTTCTATCACGCCCCCCTCCCAATTTCTACAGACGACGGACGGCTCCTCCTCCATTAATCCCGTCTATTCTCAATGGCTACTGACGGATCAAAATTTATCCGCGGCCATTTGCTCAACAATCTCGGCGTCCATCCTTCCTTACGTTATCTCGCTCGAATCTACAGCCCAAATCTGGGCTGCACTTGAAACACGTTTTCAAGCCACGAATCGTTCGAAGGTTATTCAATTAAAGAACGCATTACACAATGTTTCCCTCAAGAACAACTCCATGACAGTATATCTATCAGAGATTAAAGAAATCGTTGATCAAATCGCGGCAGCGGGATCTTTAGTCGATCAGGAAGATATCATACACTAAATTCTAAATGGTCTTCCTCAACAATATCAATCATTCAAGACCACCATTCGAACAACATCCCTATCTCTCACTCTTGACGAAATATATCCTCTTCTCTTGAGCGAAGAAATTAATCTCGTTGCTGATGCTACTCGGTACGCGACAGGCCATGATCCCAACATGGCTCTGTTCACGAATAAAGGTCGAGGTCGCCGACCCAAAAACAAGAACGTGCCCAACTTCAACACTAGATCTCATTCAACAGATCTCTACAATGCTCCCATGACGAATCATCCCAATCCAAATGCAGGCATTTTCTGTCAAATTTGTTACAAGAAAGGTCACTCGGCTCAAACCTGTTGGCACAGGTTAAATCCCCAGTATATTCCTTCATCCAAGCCGGAACAAACTGCTCTGCTGGCTGGATCGGATACTCAGAATAATTCGTGGTTCTTGGATTCAGGCGCCACATCTCATCTAACAAATTCGCTGGAGAATATCTCTATGGCTCAACCCTATATGGGCCACGACAACATAACTGTAGGAGATGGCAATTCCGTCAATATTGCTCACACTGGGGCGGGTATCCTCCCGACCCCATCTCGTAAGCTAAAATTATCACAAATTCTCCATACTCCTTCTCTTAAATTCAATTTACTATCTATTTCCCAACTAACGAAAGATAACAATATTTCAATTATCTTTGATCCCTCTGGTTTCATGTTGAAGGACCTGGAGACGGCTCAAGTTTTGTACCGCGGACCGTGTAACGGTGTACTGTACAAGCTTCCTATGCCAACCCCGATGACAACTCATCAGGCGCTCACTGCAGCTAACTCGGCCGCTCATACGTGGCACCATAGACTAGGACACCCTTATAAGCGAATTTTCGATTTCATTTCTAACTGTAATCCTCTTTTAAAAATGCATAAGCAGCTATCTCAATGTGATTCTTGCAATGCCTCCAAATGTCATAAACTAGTCTTTGATAATTGTCCTGAGCGCCAAATGCAACCTCTGGCTATTATTCACTCTGATGTCTGGGGGCCGGCACCGTCGGTCTCATGTCAAGGATTTAGATTTTACGTTATTTTTGTTGACGATTTTTCTCGATATACATGGATTTTTCCTTTACGCCATAAGTCTGATGTTTTCTCTATTTTTGTTAATTTTCAAGCTCAGTTAGAAAGATTAACTTCGCATCGGATACGTATACTACGAACAGATGGTGGTTCTGAATATGTTAACAATGCGTTCAAATCTTATCTAACACAGCAAGGCATCACCCACAAGCTTTCATGTCCTTACACCCCGGAACAAAATGGTTTAGCCGAAAGAAAGCACCGTCACATTATCGAAACCACAAGAACACTGCTTCTGACAGCCTCAATGCCTCATATTTTTTGGCCAGATGCAGTAACTACCTCTGTCTATCTTATTAATAGATTACCGTCATCTGTCACTAACAACAAAACGCCTCTAGAACTATTGTTCA